ATGTAACAGCCAATCACGCGCAAAATTTTGTGTTCGTCGCATTCCGGTTAGTAATATTCGATATGTCAAAAGATGCACCACGCATCTGGAGGCCCAATTTCGAAATCGATTAAATCATGGACATTGGCTCGAGTCGACGTCATGTAAGCATTGTTTCGGTTGCCCAAGAGCTAAAGATTTGCACAAAAAACCGTTTGGAACCATTTGAATAAGGCTGGATACAAAAAGAAGCTCGATGTATGGGTGGCCACACGAGTTAACGAAAAAAAAACTCATGGACTGAATTTCCATCTGCGAATCGCTGCTGAATCGCAACAAAATCGACCCATTTCTGAAGCGGTTGGTCACTAGTGATGAAAAGTGGATCACTTACGACAACGTCAAGCGAAACGGTTGTGGTCGAATCGCGGTGAGCCGGCGGAAACGGTGGCCAAGCCAGGATTGACGGCCAGGAAGGTTTTTGCTGTGTGTTTTGGTGGGATTGGCAGGGAATTACTTACTATGAGCTGCTCCCCTACGGCAAAACTCTTAACTCGGAACTGTACTGTCAACAATTGGACCGTCTGAAGGAAGCAATCGCCCAGAAGCGGCCAGTTTGGCCAATAGGAGAGGAATTGTGTTCCATCAGGACAACGCCAGGCCACACACATCGATAGTGACTCGCCAGAAGCTCCGGGAGCTTGGTTGGGAGGTTCTTATGCATCCACCTTATAGTCCGGACCTGGCACCAAATGATTACCATCTGTTCCTGTCCATGGCGAACAATTTTGCTGGTGAAAAATTCGCTTCAAGAGAGGCTTGTGAAAATCGACTGTCTCAATTTTTTGCCAATAGGGACGAGGGCTGCTATGAGAGAGGCATAATGAAATTACCTTCAAAATGGCAACAAGTTATCGAACAAAACGGCACATATTTGATCTAAATCGGATCATTCTAACTATGGTAATTAAAGCCTTCAATTTCATGCAAAAATAATGGATTTCTTTTTACTACATCTAATATAATACTCGGCTCGTTAAGGCCATCTATGGTAAGAAATATTTTCAGTCTTCATAGAGAGAGAGAGAAAGAGAGATTAGTTAGTATTGTCATCCAACAAGAAATGTGCTTCTTTTGCAGATGCTGTATGTAGAACAACTATTTGCAAAACCTGAGAAGTCAGAGTTCCAGAAGCAGATGCGGGAGTTTTTGCGTGTAATAAAAGAAAGAAACCGTATGAGAGGAAACCGTGGACGCCAACACAATCTTGCCTGACTGAACGCAGAGCATTTGTGGGACAAGGAAGAGGAAGAACACAATGATGATTGACAATATGAATCAGTTAAGTTAAAAATATCCGTTGCACATTTTAAGACAAGTAGTGAGAATGAAGAAGATGATGCTGATAACGTCGATGGATAAGTCTGGGGAAGAAAGTCTAATATCTCTCTTTTAGATCAACATACTGAATTACAAAAATTGGCTGAAGGTATTAAACTTTTGAAATGCCTTAAAAAACCGTGCCGTCAGTGTTAATATTTGCGAAGAAGAAGCGCGACGTGGATGCTATCCACGAATATCTGCTAATCAAAGGAGTGGAAGTTGTTGCATTACATGGAGGCATCGGTACGCCGTATTTCAAAGCACTGGGACTGTTAATAAATTGTATTAACATTTCGAAGTTAAACATCATGTAGATAAATTAAGTCTATAGCATGATATTTATTTTCTTATTTATTCTAGTATGTATAATATTCACAAACATTGTCAATTACAGATCAGGAGAAAAGATCATGTTCTGTCGAAGCGTTTCTCGCAGATCAGAAGGACGTTCTGGTTGCGATAGATGTTGCGTCCAAAGGTCTCGAGTTTGCTAATGTACAACACATAATAATAAAATTATGATATGCCACATGATGTGGAGAATTACGGTGATATTTCGTGATTTAATCTACAATTTAGGTTATTGCATCAGAAGAACTCAATGTTAATGTATCTCTCTTAATATAGTTCACAGGATAGGACGTACTGATCGTTCCGGACGTACTGGCATCGCGATGGCTTTCATTAATAAGGCAAACGATGAATCGCTGTTGCTTGATCTCAAATATCTGCTAATGGAGGCGAAGCAGGAAGTGCCGTCATTCTTGTTGAAACTTTGCTCGGAAACCGAAAAATACCTCAATCTGGGAAGTAAGATGATAATTGCAATACATTTGCTTTCTTCTTGTGATGTTCAAATTACAAGCGAACACTAGCGTTTGGTGACTGCGCCTACATTTGCGTTTATGATCGTCTCTTGACTAATTAGAAAAAAGCTACTGGCGATTGAGATTTTTCTGATTGATCAAGAGACAATCGTAAATATAGACGTTAGTGTGATTTGGGCATTAAACAGCGTTCATTCTCGATCTCACTGTGACTTGTAAATTCATCTGCAAATTTGAAATGGACATTTATGGACATTTATATTCTTTTCATTTTACAGACGAACGCGGTTGCAGTTATTGCGGCGATCACAGAACCACAGAATGTCCGAAATTGGAAGCCATGCAGAATAAGCAAGTGTCAAATATCGGACGTCGCAAGCTAACAATGCGGCAGATTATTAAATATTATGATATTTTTTAGATAATTATTGTATATATATACAATAACATATACAAAAGATTATTTATATATATATATAATACATATACATATATAAAAGATCTTTTAGTATATGTTAAAGCGTTGTAAAAACAAAATATGTTACGAGAAACAAAATCTAATAAAATTGTTACATTCGCGTTATGTTTGCGGAATAATTATGCAGAGAATCGATAGACAAGCGCGAAGAGTTCCTGCACTCCGCCAACTTCAAGGACTCCTTCATTTCATCGAAGAAATGCATTCACGAAAGAGACCAAGCAAAGCATATCGCAAGCGTTATTTTTATTAAAAATGTTTCTCATATATTTACAAAATAAAATTAATATTGTATATTCACAAATACCAATTCTGACTTCTTTATTCAGAAATACCAATTCTAACCTAACGACCAAGATTATATACGCGATGCGTACCATTAAAAGATCAGCTGATTTAATGCAAGCGTTGCTGCGAATTTGCTGTCAACTTGCACTCAAGTCTTGAGTTCAAGACCTTGCTCCGGTGTTGCCGCCAACTTGCTGCCAAGTTATGTGCGCAAGGTTTGCGTGCTGTTTGCTGCAAATTTGCATCAAATGCTTGACGTCAAGATTTGCAGCCAAATCCATAGCCTCAAGACGCCGCAGATGACTATGGTTTTGGCATCAACATTTGATCAAATTTGCTGCCAATTTGCGTGCAACTTTCTCTCAATTTGCTTGCTGGGTAGTTGCTTATTAATATTACTAATAATGGCTTTATATTACTAATAACTAATAATTAAGAAGCGCAGATTATATAAACCAAATAATAATAGCTTAGACCAATAAATATCTAAAATACTTTTTTTCCTAATCCACAGACATACATACCTTTATTTTTTTAACTATTCAAATGTAATATATTTTAATCGCAAAGAAGACTCATAACAAAGGATTAAACAAGGACAACAATTATTAAACAAGGATAACAATTAGGATTCAATCAAGGAATGTTTTCTTCGTAAATACATAACACATACATGTGTTATATACCTACAAGGATAGAAGAGAAGAATCAAGTAATAGTGCAATTTAAAGTACGTTTCAAAATTAATATAGCAATATATTCTTTTAAAACTTCTCTCAATTGCGCACACATCACAGAATTAAACTAAAAGATAGAATAGAACAACATTCTGTAATAATGGAGAAAAAATGAAAAATTTTTAATTGTAAGATTACTTTACCATTATGGCCATGGTGTACAATCTTCTCTCGAAAGTCTTAATTGCAAGGTACTTTTCTATTATATTTGACCCAATTGCGCATTAGTAAAATTTATCTTAATATCTCATTTTGTCATGTCGATAGTCTCTAAAACAATACAAACCAAGTTGACAACTGTAACTGTAAGGAAATAGAAATCTTCAATAACATATCGTAAATTATAATCAACAGTTACTTTCTATGCCTAAGGTTGCTTTCAGAGCAATATGCAAATAAACGTCACATCTTATATTATTAAATTGTTAACTACTTCTACACTTTGACCCTGTCACATACCTAATGACCATTAACAGATACAAATTAAATTTCAAATCTTACAATAATGCGTAATCCAAAATATACTTACGTACAAAAACTTTACGAAACACTGGCTGCGTTCAAAAAACAAAGCGCTCACTGAGCGCTTAGTAACTATTGGTCCTTAATGTTAGATCCTTACATTCAGACCAATAACGTTGACGAATTACTCAACCGTTGTGTAATTGTCGTGTTTTCTGAACGCAGTCAATGGTTGCGTTTAGCAGAGAAAGCTGCTTTGCAACTGTTCCCATATAGCACAGATCATTGCAACAACATTGCAGCAACGTTGCAACGTTGCAAATTGCATAGCAACATTGCAAAAACATTGCAGAGACATAAATCCGCAAGATATCAGCACACTTTTAGCAACATTGCATTAACGTTGCATTAACACTGCAAAATGAAAATTCCATAATTTATTTATAACAACCACTATTGTTGCGAGCGTTAAGTGGAACGCATCAAAGGTTCTTCCTACGGAGAGCAGCTTTCCAATGGAGAATTCAATTCTCTATTAGACAGCTGTTCTCCTATTGGATATCGTATTATGACTGTGTCCCGAAATTCACTGCCAGTACTGAACATCTATAGTTTATGAGACATAAACTATAGATTTTCAGTACTGACAGTGAATTACGGGACACAGCCATCGGCCGCGTTCAGTAGACTCAACAGTTGGACAACATTACTAGATTTTCCACCGAATCTCGCTCTTGATTGGTAAATACTTCTGGGTCTATGAAGAATCTAAAAGAATGCTCCAATCACAGACAATAATCACTAAGCGCTCACTGATCACTTTGTTCTACTGAACGCGGCCATTGTATGTCGCATCATCGGACACAGTGTGAATCCGCCATAACATGCACTTGGGTCATGTTTATGAACGCAGCCTTAGGCCGCCATTCAGAATGTATCGTGAGCGATTCGAACATCGATCGTGTGTGGTTGTTAAATAAAAGAAAGAGGTAAGTGCTTTCTGATAAAATTAGTATTTAATTATAGGTACTTGTGTGATGCTTCTATGCCTATTATAATAGTATTCTATGCTTATCCCAGAGTTAACCCTCTACAGACAAGGTTGAAATAAGATTCTCTCCCGTGGACGCCACCTTGCCGTGGTGGGGGAGCTTGCGTGTCCCGATGAAGTACAGAGCTGCGCCGGCGGAGGTTTCGACCCCTGGCAGGTTCTACCATGCCGGAGAGGTCTGTACAGAGGGGCCAGACTAAGAGCGTCCATAATACTCCTGGATGGGCAGCTGCCTCCAGGTTTTATCCAGGGTTTGGAGGGTTTCATTCGTGAGGCTCAAAGGACTCTACAGCGCGGGCAGAGCGGGCTCGTTAGCCTTGGCAGGCAACCGGTCTAAGGGAAGGAAAATCCCGAAATCACACCCGTGTTACAGGGGCACGTAAAACTCCTGCATTTATGGAGATATGACTAGTAAGGAGACAAGCGCCCCGGTACTCGGAGCCGGGGAACGGCGGGAGGGGACGTATCGTCCCGGCACCCCCCCGTCGTCATCCAGCTACGGGCTTGACGGCGCGTGCCAGGCGGGCGCGCCGTCTGAATATGCTACCGAAGGGAGGCACTCTTGGACCGGCTGAGGCCGAGTGTGGGTCGGATGAACCCACCCTCGGCCTTCGCCGGTCCAAAGAGCGCCAAGAAAAGGAAGCGCGTGGCGGAGGAATCTGCCACGCATTTGTGGCAGGACAGAGAGATGCACTTCCCTCCCCTCGGGGGCGTTAGTTCCCATCGGGGGGAGGGGAGTGCAGCTCCCTGCACGCGTAGGGGTAGGGACGTAGTATCCGCCACGCAAAGATGGAAGGAACTCTTCCCAGGGGAGGAGTTTCCCTCATCCGAGGACGAAGAGTCCTCGGTTGGGGGGACTCCACTCCGAAACGCGCGGGAGGGGAGAGTTTCGGGGGGGCGATCAGGGCGCCACCAGTGGGGCCTTCCGCCCGTGCGGAGACCCGCTGCCGAGGCGGAGAGAGAGAGGGACCTTGCCGACAGGGCCCTGGACGGCATAGATTATGTCCGAACCGTCCAAGTAAATCCCTCGTTGAGGGCTGCCAAGGGGTACGGAAAACCCTTGGAGGCCCTCAACGAGGATTTTAGGGAGAGCCTCCTCTGCATAGAGGAGGCATTAGAAGATTATAAGAGGCAGGCGAGGGAGGATGGCCCGGATGGACGACTTGGGGCCCTGGAGGTGCAAGTCCGGGGCCTCAAGTCCGAAATCGCCCGCATTGGGCGGCTGCTGGAGAAGCTTTTGCCTTCTCCAGCAGCTGCAGCTGCGGGCAGCGGGGCCACCCTCTCTCGCCCCTCTCCGCGGCAACCGACGGCCGATGGGGAGGGGCGCGGCGGGTGGACAGTCGTGTCCACCCGCAAGGGGAAGGGTAAGGGAGGGAAGGGTGCGCGGCCTGACCCTCCTCTACCAAAGGGTGGAGGTGCTGCAAAGAAGGCGGCATCTCTTCCCAAGGGAGGGAAGGCTGGGAGGAAGAGGGCCCCGAAGAAGGGACCCCCTCTCCCCAAGGAAGCCACAGATGAAGAACCCCCCGCGCAACCCGGTCGTAACCTTTGACTATATAACTATGGACTGCTAGCAATGACTTTGGGCATCTATGAACATCTGCAGCGCCGCCAGTACCAAACACGGCCATTATTAGAACTATCATCGCACTTTTCATTCCTGTTTTACCATTAAAAAGATATTTGCGATCATGAATTTATAAGGAAAGGAAAATATAAAGAACACAAAATATGCTGTATATAATAAAAATTACATTAGTTATATAGTTTATGTTATGAAAATCTTTATTATACAATAACAATTAGTATTTATATATAAATAAAAATAAAAATATATATGTTAAACATAGCATCACATAACATATATATGTTAAACATAACATAAATAAAAATAGAACTTTGTTATTAATGTAAAAAAAAACGTTACATTTTCCATATTTGTTAAGATATTACTGACCTTTGAATAAAATAATTTTTGTAAACTGATGTCTGATGTACTCAATATTTTGGCTCATTAATTTCCCTTCATAATTCATAAGAATCTGTATATAACATTCTATAATTAATTTAATTAAATAATATTTGTGATTTTCGAAAACGTCTAACTCATTAACGTGGTTGTTAAAATTTATAAATATCTTATCCATATCAATATTACGTATTGTTTTTATAATTATTTCTTGGCATACATTTTTCTTATACAAATTATTCTGTAATTTATAAAAATTAAAAACTTTGTCAGCGGCAACAATGAGTTTATATGTATCTTCTCGTGGATAATGTAAATATCCACAGCTTTTTCTTTCTATGAATGTAGACTTCATAACTGTACATTAAAAAGATAAAGACATGTTTCGCAAGTAATCTTTTTTAATAATTTAATAATTAAACTTCCTTAAACTACTTGACGACATGTTTGCCACTTTTTCGGTTGTAATATCTCCTGGATATCTTATTAAACATTTATCATTTGACGCCACAATATTGGTTTTTGTTGAATATGTCATATCATCTTGTGTTTGTCCTTGATGAGAACCAATTGTTGATTCATCTTCCATCAATACTTCAGAAGATGCATTATTGTTTTCGTTACAGTGTATACTTTCTGTTATGCTATTAACAATTTTTTTTTATTTGTATAAAGTTTGTATGAAAGTTTGTATGAAAGTGGTATTATTATAGTTTAAATGTATTAACAATTTTAGTAATATTACCTTAAATTAGAAACATGTGGAAATATAGATGATACAGATCCTTCGTACAAGCGTAACTATGACAATCCAGTTTTGTACATACAGGTTTCATTAAAATGTTCTTGACATACAGTGCTATTTGTTTTTATGGCCACATTTTTCAATGCTTTCACCCATTTTGTACGATGTTCCAGATTTTTTGGAAATCTAAAAATATTAATAAAGATTTAAACTATTCTAGTAATATATTTGTTTCATATGATATTCTCATACATGTCTAAACACATGAAATTGTACAAACATTACTTTTAATTGCCGTATTATTATTGCAATCTCATGTGTTTATATGTATACACATATTATACGACACTGCTTTCTTACTTTATTTAAAAATTAACCATTTAATAAGTTATTGTTGTAATGTAACATGAGAGAGACTTACGCAAATAAAGCCACATGCTTCCTGTCTTTTTCTCTTTATGAATAGAATTATTGCACCAATGGACAACACAGTATTTCATTTTTATTTATTATTTTCTTGTTTGTAATTGCCGTGTTATTATATATCTTATATGGTATAATATATAGCTACTAGATACGTCTACTTTGTTATCATTCGTTATGCTCAACGAGTTCCATCATTTGCCGTGTTTGGTACTGGCGGCGCTGCAGATGTTTGTAGACACTTATTGCGTGGAAAAGTAAGCTGCTAGCAGTCCATAGTTATATAGTCAAAGGTCGTAACAGTGACCGCGTTGCCGGGGGGTCCCTCCATCACGGAGGTGATGGCTAAAGCCAGGCTTCAGGTCGACCTGCAGGAGGTCGGCCTGGAGCCTGGCAGCTTCAAGATAAAAAGGGCCAGAAATGAGGGAGTAATCCTGGAGGTCCCTGGCCAGGACGGTCAGAGTAAAGCCGACCGCCTGGCTAGGGATCTCCATGTCTTGTGTGGGGACGCAGTGGTCTCCAGGCCGACGAGGAGGACGGAGCTCCGCCTCGTCGGACAGGAGGACTCTGTGACCAAACTGATGGTCAGGGTCGCGATATTGAAAGCCACAGGCTGTCCACCGATCTCCAGGTCGGTGAGATCAGGAGCTCGTCCGGGGGACTAGAGGGGTTTGGATCCGGTGCCCGCTGACACCGGCCCAAAAACTGGCGGCAGCCGGGGGTCTGATAGTCGGTTGGGGACGGGCGCAGATACGGACACTGGAGGACCGGCCCCTCCAGTGTTATAAGTGCTTGCACTTTGGTCACATGGCAGCGACCTGCCAGACCGATAATGGTCTGGCAGGCCGCTGCTTTAGGTGCGGAGGGGCCGGTCACGTGGCACAGGGGTGCACCGCGGCGGTGCGGTGCCCCCTGTGCGACAAAGAGAGGAGGGAAGCCGGCCACCGAATGGGTGGCCGAGCCTGTAGGGCGGTTCCCCGGACTGTCCCGAGAGGGGGGTACCTCCTCCTCGAAAGAGGAGGAGAAAGAAGAAGAAGGCGGCACGCGGGGGGGCTGCGGCTGATGTCCGGCAGCAGCCTCCAGGCGATGCCGCCGAAATGGCGATACAACCGGTCGCTGGCCCAAGCAGGACCGATGGGGAAGGGATGGGGGCGACGGAGGCTGGAGCGATCCAGCCTCCGCCGCCCACGGATCAGGTAGGGCCTGGGGTGGGTGGAGCGTCGGCCGCTCCAACTGCGCTGGACCCTCCTCCGGCGGTTAGGCCGGAGGGGGTTTCCGAGGCGATGATGACGATGGAGGTCGAGGCCTCAGTCTCCCTCCTAGCGGAGGCGGGGTGGGAGGAGTGGGGGGGGGCAATGAGCACGAGTAGTTCTCCCCACCCACTCCCTCACCCTAGGTCCATGGGATCTGCCGGTGCGGTAGTGGCCTCGAAGTGCTAGAGGCCCCCGCACCGGGACCCATGGGCCAGGTAGGAGCAGTCAGGGGTGGGCCGACCCCTTGTGGGAACACCCCTGACCGCGCTAGGAGGGTTAGCCTCCCGCCAAGGGTGAGACCCCCGAATCCGATTTTGGTGCGGAGGAGGAGGGAGCCCTGGGGGGGAAGACCCACCCCACGTGGGGTGGGTGCTGTAGGGTCCCCCTCGGTTCTTCACCGGGGGGGGGTTGGGGGGTCCCATTCGGACCCCCACACACCTTTTCTTCTGCGGATGGTCGCCACCTTGTCGTGGTGCAGAAGCTTGATGGCCACAATGATCCAAGGGGATGGACTCGACTTGGAATCTCAGGATTCCAAGTTCAAGGGTGAACCGAGGAGAGTGGCTACTAAAAGCGACCAACACATGCTTGAAGATGGGCAGCTGCCTCTTGAAGCATTAAGGGACTAGAGGGCTGCTCTCGAGCGGCACGAAGGACTCTGCAGCGCGGACGTTTGGGCTCGTTAGCCTCGCCTTTGGGAGGCAACCGAACAAGGGAAGGACACCCATAAAAACCCGTGGCGATGAGGGCACCCGTTAGCCTATTTTCCAGGCACCCAATGAGGGGACGGAAAACCCATTGTAAAAACCCGGGTATCGGACTCGTTAGTCTGGGAGGTTTCCAGACAATCCGACGAGGAGAAGGAAAACCCACTGCAAAAACCCGGGCTAGTGGGCTCATCAGCCTTGAGCAACCTATTCCGGAGATTGGAAACTCTGTTATCAAATTCGGAAGGCTCGAGAGCTTGACTTCGTGGGCAAACAACCTAAGTGAAGGGGAAGAAGAACTCCAATACCAAACCCTGGCATCGGGCTCGTTAGTCTGGGAGGTTGCCAGACAATCCGACGAGGGGAAGGAAAACCCACTATAAAAACCCGGGTTAGTGGGCTCGTTAGCCTCGTGCAACCTATTCCGGAGATTGGCAACTCCGTTATCAAACCCGGGCGAGGGCTCGAGGGCTTGTCTACGTGGACAAGCAACCTATTGCTAGGGGAGGAAGAACCCCAATACCAAACCCGGGTGTGCAGCTCGTTAGCCTGAAGGCATCTGCACCGGAGAGAAAACTCCGCACAAACCGGGCGTTCGGGCTCGTGAGTCTGGCGGTCCGGACATCCGAAACGGAGAGAAAACTCCGATCAAACCGGGCGTTCGGGCTCGTGAGTCTGGCTGTCCAGACATCTGAACTAGAGGGAAGGAAGAACCTTGACTAATAAATCCGAGCGTGCGGCTCGTTAGCTTAGGGCATCAGCACCGGAGAGAAAACTCCGCATAAACCGGGCATTCGGGCTCGTGAGTCTGGCAGTCCAGACATCCGAAACGGAGAGAAAACTTCGAACCAAACCGGGCGTTCAGGCTCGCGAGTCTGGCAGACCAGACACCTGAACTAGAGGGAAGGAAGAACCCTGACTAATAAACCCGGGCGATCGGGCCCGTGAGTCTATTTTTCCAAGACATCCGAACAAGGGGAAAGAAAACCCAATGTAAAAATCGAGGGATGGAAAACCCACGAAAACCCGGGTATCGGACTCGTTAGTTTGGGAGGTTGCCAAACAACCCGACGAGGGAAAGGACACCCACTGTAAAAACCCGGGCTAGTGGGCTCGTTAGCCTTGTGCAACCTATTCCGGAGATTGGAAACTCCGATATCAAACCCGGGCGAGAGCTCGAGAGCTTGACTTCGTGGGCAAGCAATCTATTATTAGGGGAGAAAGAACCCCAATGCTAAATCCGGGCGATCGGGCTCGTTACGCTGGAGAAGACAGCTAACCGAACCAGGGGAAGGAAACCCAACGTAAAAACCCGGGCGTGTGGGCTCGACAGCCTTCGGGCAACCACAACAGAGAACAAATCTGACAATAACCGGGCGTTCGGGCTCGTGAGTCTGGCAGTCCAGGCAGCCGATACTAGGGGAGGAAGAACCCCGAATAATAAACCAGGGCGATTGGGCCTGTTAGTCTGTTTAACAGACACCAAACGAGGGGCAGGAAAACCCAAAGTAAAAACCCGGGAGTTTGGGCTCGGTAGCAGCATGGCAACCAAACCAGAGAGGAAAACTCCGATTAAAACCGGTCGGGCGTTTGGACTCGTTAGTTCCGGGGCGGTGTTTAGGACTCGCCAAGCCTCGGGGCGACCAAACCGGAGAGGCAACTTCGTGAACAAACCGGTTGGGTGCTCGGACTTGTGAGACTGGTTTCCCTGTCCACCGAGGAAGAAGGAAGAACCTCAAAGAACAAATCCGGGGAGGTGGCCTCGTTAGTCTAGTGAGACAGCCGAGCGTATGAAGTCCACAAGGCAAAGTTCATGTGGTCTAATTCCTCTACATGAGCGCTGCCGAATGGCAACACCCGGTGGAGCGCGTGGCGAACCCCGCGGGTCCCGGTTCTGTCGTCGGTGGGGGTCTTTTGGGTGCCGGGGGGCGGAGAATAGTCGGCAACGGTGGGCTTGCACTCACTGATCCGTTAGGACGAAGTCCCGCGGCGCCTGGGGGGGTCGCTCGGCGGCGGGGGCGGGGGTGCTCTCGGGAGACGGGGCGGGCTCCTCCTGGGTGTAGGATGGCTAGCCATCCAGAATGAATGTGTGTGTGGGGGGGTGGGGACCGGAGGGGGCTGGAGACGCCTATCCTCGATGGGATGGGGCTGTAACGGTGGTGGATGGGGCCACCTTCGTCACAGTGCCGGAGAGGATAAGCGTGACGAATGAACCAGCTTAGGTCGCCTCTGAAGGGGGGTTTTTCTGGGTGCTGGGTGGGTATCCCTTGAGGAAACTTGGGGGATGCATTTATCGGTGTCCCAGTCTTACTCCCATGGAAAGGAGTTGGCCGGCTGTTACGGGCGTATGGGTCGTGGAGGTATGCCGCCGGTAGAGACGGTGCTGCTGCGTCGCCCCGCGTGGGCTGGGCGGGCGGAGGTAGGGCGGCCGACCTTCCAGGTCAGGCTGTCTGGCCTCTGCTGGCCCGGCGTGTGTGGGGCGGCAATGTGGCGCCGATGACGGTGACGAAACCTCCTGTATGCACTACTGCAGGGCTGGGAGACTCCCGCAGCTGGCGTCCCCTGCGCCTCGACCGGCCCTGAAAAGGGTGCATGCGGACAATACTGTGACCGGAATCAGTTCGACCAGCGCGTGCCAAAAATGTCATGACAATTACGGTGCCTGGATTGCGGGCGAGATGGATGAAGTTCACCACTCACCATTTAGCATGTAACCAAGGGCACAACATCCGGTGTCCGGGAAATCTGGAGCATACAGTCGGGGGTTGTCCGTCCGAAATGGAGTACCCCGGTGTTCGACGGCTGGAGATAGTCGGCAACGGGGAACCCGCAGGTGGCGGGCGACCTGATCCGTCAGGCAAAAGCCGCCGGGCATTGGGGCCCATTTCGGAGTGGATGGCCGACGACTGTGCCAGGTTACTGGGCATTAGGTGGGGAAGGGGACCAGAAAGAGTCTCCTTTTCCCCCCCGTGGGCGCCACCTTGACGTGATGGTGGGGCTTGTGTGCCTTCATGATGTACAGAGCTGTGCCGGCGGGGGTTTCGACCCCTGGCAGGTT